CAGGGATGATCAGGCTGGGGTCAGTGACTTCCTCCTATGAGGTGCACACCCTTCCCCAGGACAGCTCCTGTTCTGCCTGTCTCTGCTTTCCTTTCTGTAGATTTTCTTGAGGAGGTGACTCTGCAGTGTCCCTGTCCCTCCCCTCTGCTCCCCAGGGGAGGTTGTCTGGAAACACAGAATCTGAGGAGAGGAAGGTGGTGTTTAGTTACCCATGCATCAAGCCTTTGGGATTTCAGGAGATGGTATTGCATTCACTCATTCTGAATGGCCAAGAGAAATATAATTTATATTAACCTTTCAAATATAATTTAGAGGCTTTGCTTTGAAAAGCATGTACTGGTTTTCTCATTAAAAAACCAGAACTTCTGTAAGTTTATTTTTAATCCCTAAATATATTAGACTCTGAGAAATTTTCATTTTTCTCTTTGGGACAGATCAAAATAAAAAAAATCATGTTAATTTAAGGATTTCTTATATTAACTTAAGCTACTGCTTGAAATTTGATAATTTGGAAAAAGTGAGTAGTTCAGGGATATTCATAGTAATCCACTGTCTGAATCAACTGGAAGAGGTTGTATTATTCTGATTGCTTTGGATTATAGGATTTAAATATCAGTACAGTTTTTCTAGCACACCAAATCCAATTATGGCAGTCTGATTGTCATATTTTAATTTTATTTAAGCAAAACCCTGGATGACAATTCTCATTAGTTAAGCAAGATAGAAGTAGGGTCGAATTTCCCCTTCCGTTGTTAGTCCTGTAATTACATTACTCTCAGATTTTATTGAAAATTGGCTTGTGATTGATGAATAGTGGCAAGACTACAAAACTGACATGTATTTGCATTTCTCCTGGGATATCACTGAATTTCCCCGAGGTTGGAGCTTTGGTCAGGAGTGGGTGTATTCAGCAGGAGCAGCGCATCTGCAGACAGCTGTCACAGGCTATCTATCTGCAACTAGATTAGTGCATGTGCACAATATATCATATGGTACTGAAAATGTTAGAAAACTTGACACAGACTCTCAGAGAAAATCACTAACCTTTAGACTCAAATTTCATGAAGCATGCTTTGAATTTCAACAAAAGGTTAAACTTGCTTTTATCTTTTCTCATTTTTAAAGTTTTGGTTGTCTGACACCAGAAATGTCATGAGTGAATTCTAAAAGAACAAATGTTGGGGGAATATCCCAAGCCCCTATCAGCAGATGAGGTATCAGTACAATCTGTCGTTCTGAGCTTTCTGACCTCCCAGCTCCCAGACAGGCGTCAGAGGTCCTTTTACTTTTCTTGTAGAGCATTGGTTCTCAACTGGGGATGATTTTGCTTCCAGAGGGACATTTGGCCTCCAGTGGGTAGAGGCTAGAGATGCTGCTAAACATCCTACAGTGCACAAGACAGCACCCACACGAAAGAATTACCTGGCCCCACAATGTCAATAGTGCTGAGGTTGAGACGCCCTGCTATTGAAATTTGCCAAGTCAAGATGTCTCCAGGGAAGCTCGCCAGCTGCCAGGAGGGTGCTTAAAGGTTCCTTTTCACTGGTAACCTTATCACAGGTCAGGGGCAGCTTTCTCAGTCTTACAGCTTCAGGAACTTACTCTCAGGTGTCCCAGAGCTGTTCAAACTCTAGGAGGTTGACTTATATCGAAACTCACGAGAAACTTTGTAAATAAAACTCTTCCTGCCTCATTAAGTTCCCCTAGTAGTCGACAGAGTGGATGCATGTGTTTGCTGCATAGCCCATACGATCCGTGTTGGCAAGATGCACAGGAACCCAGATCACGAGGCGGTGCCTCAGGGGGCCTGGAGTCAGAACAAGGGGAGGGTTTGGGTGTTGAGTGATACCTGAAACTCTGAGGTCGTGGCACTTATAACTCCACCCTTGAGACATCCCACCATCAGGGTGGGATGTGCTGAATCTTCAGCTTAAGACCCTTCTCCTTTAGCCAGTGCTGGGAGGGTCTTGGCAACAACCTCAGTGTTTCACACTTTCCTCCTCTGCCTCTGTTTGATGGGGATAATTAATATAAAGATAGATATTAGAACACTGTCCCTGACTGGAGGCTTTCTCAGTCTAGTGGGTGGCACTGATGTGATATTTCAAAAGAATGTGGGCAGGACAGTGATGGGAACACACAGGATTCTGAGCAAGTATAGAGGACACAGACCCATGCTGCATGTCACTTAGAGTGTCTTCATTGATCTATCAAGCACTGATTTCAAAGTTTTTGGAGAGCAGCATAACTCCTGAGATCCTGAGTCCTGGGAGAAGAGTGCAGGAGTCATCACCACTTTTGGGGACTGTCTGCTGTCTGTTTGCTTTTCCCTGGGTTCTGTTCCGAGATTGGATGTCAGGTCTCTGGGTGATGAAAGAATCTGAGATGCCACTTACCTCTCACCTTTTCCCTCTCAGTAATGGAGACAGTCATTTTGTGCAGTTTTGAATGCTGTTGTCAACCCACCAAGAAATAGAGCCAGGCTGGGGCAAAGTGCAAGGATAAGGCAGAGAGTTACTGTGGAGAGAGGAATTCTGCAGAGGGTAGCAGTATTTGAGTGAGCTTGATGTGTTTTGCCAGGATCCTGCTGAATCACTCAGCAAAGTCAGAAACCTGGTAAGTGCTATATCACAAACAATGCTCCCTCCTTTTGAACAGGTCAACACTGATGGAAGTGGTAGGAGCATAGAGAGATGGAAACATCAGATGGGATTATTAAGCAGGCAGGAAAGAAGGGAGAGTGTGTTGCATGCATACGTTTTTCTTCCACGAAGCTTGCTGGTTGGGATTGTGTTCTGCCTATCTCCCCTAATTCTTCCTTGACCTTCCCTAACAATTAAGAGGGACAATGGTTTTTCACACTAACTAACTCAGTTTGAATCCTGGCTCTCATACTTCTTAGGTGTGGGACTTTGGGCAAATAGATTCTCTGAGCCTCAATGTCCCACCTATAAAATGGGAATTATAATACTTACCATTTATGGTGGTTGAGGATAGAGGAGATGTGTATAGAACTTTTTGGAAGGTACCTGGCATGTTGTGGGGACTCAAAAAATGCTAGTTGTCATTTTATGCTAAAAAGTCACACTTAGAATGTGAGTACTCTGAGAGGAATGTGAATTGACACAAATTCACAGTAGGTATTGACAGGTGTTACATCTTTTCTGAAAATTCAGTTTTTTGGATAGAACTCATGGTGATAGAAAACGGGGCCAGGCACAGGAATTCTGAGTTTTGAGGGGAGAGAGAAAGGGACAGCCTGGGATGTCATTTACTCATCAGACACCGACTTAAAGCCCACCAGGTACCAGTTTCTATAAGAAGGACACACGTGGCTTGCCTCACAGTCTGTCCCTGGGCCAGCCCTGACCTTTCTGTGGTGAGCCGGTGTGGTGAACTTGCAGGCAGCACTTGGGGGTTCTTAGAAGTGCTGAACAGTCTAAGTACCTTGTTTTTTTTTCTTTTTTTTCTTCAGTAATTAATATAGTGATATCAAAGCTGTTTGCAGCTAATTAATTATCTTCCAGCCAGATTAATCTTACCTTTCTTTAAAATGTGCTACAGTTGGAAAGGCATCTGATGGGAAAAGGAAGATTGTATGCATGTGCTATATCCTCTGTAAAAGGCACATCAGCATTTCCGTGTTTCATGGGAGTGCACCTGTCTCAGGCTGACTCAGCGGTGTGCTACTGGTAGGCCGAGGAGGAGGACGATTATTTTAGCTACTGAATTGATTTTATTTATCCCTTTGATATTTCTCTACCTCCTCTGCCAAGAGTTTCATCTCAGAAATTCAGTTTGGGTGAAGCCACATTTTGTTTCTGGATCTTTCCTCTTTATCACCTTTGTTAGAGGTAGAAATTTACCCCTTGTAAAGCCCAGATGTGCTGAAGGATTACTCTGCCCATTGTTGGGACCAGCTTGGAAACTGTGCTGCTCACTGCCCCTGCGTTGCCCCTGCATTGCCCCTGCATCGCCCCTTGATGTTGTTAGGACACTGTTACTTGTTTATTTGGTTTTGGGCCTGTTGGGGGTTTGCGGGTAGGCACTGCATGTGGTTTGTAATCCTAATGTCCGAGATAATGCCTGGCATATCTTAAATAGCCAGAGGCACTTCTTTCATGTCTTTTGCTCAGAATCAATATTTCCTTCTTCTTTCTTTTTCCCTTATTTTGGACCTGGTGTTGATTGGAAAACCTGAACATCAATGGATGGATGCTTAGATGCTAGTACAAATCTATGGGAGTGCAACAACGTGAGGCAAGACTTACCTGGCTGGAAACTGGAATTTTTTTGCTGTCTTTAATTTATTCAGAAAGAGAAACTGAAATTTGTCTTTTTAGTATTCCATTGTGTAGATATACCACATTTTCCGTATTATTATTTTTTTTGACACAAACTTACCCTCCCATACACATGCACGCACACCACATCAACTAGAGGACTCTATGTTAGTACGCATAGTCATTTCTGATCTGTGAAATATTACATTGGGCAAGTAAGGCAAAATCGAATTTGGCCAGCTTTTGAAAGTTATTGATTTCAAATGAGAGCAGTAGTATTAATTCTATTAGAGCAGTAAAACCCAGAAGTCAGTCTCTGATGTTCATTCAGAAGTTTACAAGTCTATCCTTGATGAGTTATCTAGGAGAATAACACTGCTGTAAGAAACTGTGGGAGGTGCACGGCTGTAGACCTATTTCTAGGGCCTAGTTTGATCTTTGGATGTTTCACTGGCCTGTGTCAGTGGAGATTTCCCAAGTTTTCCACTGCAGTCAAGTTCCGAGAGTCAAACCTATCCACATGTCTCCTAGCCATGTGTCCAGTGGGAGCAATGGTTGTACAGGGGGAAAAGACCTCCCCCACCCCTTTGAGAATTACACGGGGCTCTAAGATTTTTGTCTAATCAGCAAAGCGCCCAGAGTGCTGAGTCTGAGATAGGATGTCTGGGGTGTGTTTCCTCCTTGCAGTGACAACTTGGCTGATGGTTTCTTTTGCAGGTGAGAGTGATTTTCCAGTGATTGCTTTGGCCTGTACAGCCAGAGAACAGGATTCTTCTCTTCTTTTTGCCCACTAAATGCCTGTGTGCACCACACATTCCTGTGAACGAGGAAGGCTGGAGCTTCTTGGATGACGATGAACATCCCACTGGGCAGGATGAGGGCAGAGTGTGTGACGTTGCCACCACAAGGGTAAGAGTCGCCTCTCTGTCATTTCTTTTTTTTTTTTTTTCCTGTATGTGTGTGTGTTTCTCTCTGTCATTTTCTGTGGCACCTATTAAATCAAAGGAAGAGGTGAATGAACCTTCCAGTGTGGTGACAAAGAAGGTGAGACGCCAGGGAGACTATTCTGACTTTAAAGTCCACTGGGCAGTTGGGACAGACAACTAAAGGAGAAAGAGCGTCGGTCTGGAATGATTAGATCGGATTTGTACTTGTGCTGAGGGACACCACAGGCTGATTTTAGAAAATCTGTCATCCACATTCCCTCCCCCTTCCCTTTGTGACTTATTTATAGCTCAGACTTGAGGGAGTAACACTACTGTTATGGTGACAAGCTCGCACTTGTGTCCATTTGGGTCATACTGACTTAGCATGGGTGCAGTGGACTTGGCGTTGGTTAAAAGTCTGGCTGGGTCACAGACTGGGCAGCGTGTTGGAAGTTCCTGACACAGAGGCTCATTTTTGTTTGAAGTGCATAGTGTTTAATACATGCTGGGTCAATTCCAATTAAGCTTGAGATATCCCACATAAAAGTCAGGTTTCCAGGTTCTCCTGCTACACCGAATGATGCGTCTATACTTGGCCTCTGTTCCCAGAAAGGACTCAGGCTCTGAGTATCCTCTGCCTCTTAGAGAGGAGTGGGTCATTAACCCTGGTCCCTGACCAGCCCACCTCATTTTTTTTTTTTTGACTTAGTTGTTTGGCCAGTAGACACATTTTATTTTGCCATGCCTGCTCTAGATCATTCTGCCAGCTCTTTGACAAAAGCAGTGGTAGTTTTTGTTAATTCCTCCAGATAAAAGCAAATATCTTACACAGGCTGTGGGCAGCAATTAGCATAATGGACTCCAGCTGCAGAGAGGACGCTACATGATCCTTTCCCTGCAGGAGCTTAGAGTCTAGAGGGAGCGACGATCAGACTTGAGGGGACTAGGGAAAACTAGAAAACATGACGGTACCTTGTGACAGGTGCTAAAGTAAAGGTATACACAAAGGGCTGTGGGAGAAGGTGAGTAGGGCCGAGGAGGCAGGGAAGGAAAACTATTAATTGGCCGGGGTGCATTCAAATTCTCCAGAAGTCCCTCTCCTGGACACCAGAGCTTGACTGTTATAAACACTTGCATATGCATTTCTCCATGCAGCGTGGCTCAGCTGGGGCTGTGATGGGGTATCTACCACAGGGTTAGGGGCCACTTTTGTGGCAAAGTGCACATTTTTCCTGTTTCTGGTGGAAAAGCTGTCATGTGTGATTCTTTGCTTTTCACAAATGGGGCAGCTTTCTGGCTGTTTGGCTCACTCGATCACTCAGCCTTCTATGCAACCCTCCTCTGGAGATAAGTGTGTGCATCACAGAGATCCCTGGAGCTTCCAGAGAGGAGCAGTCACATTAAATGGAAATCCAGGAGGAATGACTACAACTTTGATACAATTTTACCAATTGGAAGGAGCAAGAGAGGGGAAGGGAATAGAGGCAGCAAGCCGGGAGGTGGAAACACTTTTATCAATCTCTCATTTTTATAATAAAGTTTTACATGTGTCTTGTGCTTTATGTTTTCAAAAGACTTTTGTATTTGTTATTTTATCCCTGTGGTGAGTTTACCATCTCCTTTTATAGATCAAGAATCTACCTACCAGCCTGGCTGATTAGCTCACAGAGTTTGGTGCTGATAACACCAAAGTCACAAATTCAATCCCTGTACCAGCCAGCCGCCAAAAACCCCCCAAAACTACCTACCTAAGGTTGTGTAGCTGGGAAGAGGCAACTCAAATACAAGTTTTTAGAGTCCTAGACTTTTTTTTTTGGCAGGAAGCTGTTCAGTACAGGGATAGAACCCTGGACCTTGGTGCTGTCAGCACCACGGCAGCACTCTGACCAGCTGAGCTAACCAGCCAGCCAACTTTTGCTTTTTTTGCTAATTGCCTCTGATGGTTCAACATTCAAAAGCTGGGTTCAGGTTATGAATACTCTGAAATAAGGTGACCTGGGACCCCAGAGGCTACTTAGACCTGCGTCATTGGTGTGTTGTCAGCTGTGGCCCATGCTGTCAGAACATGCCAGACACAGAACAGACCTGGGAGGGTGATTTCTTGCCTGTGTATTTGGCTGGTGGAACTAATACTTTACATCAAGGCTTCCTCAGTGGCCTGGGCTGAACCACTTGGAAGGCCATTGGAGGAAACAACCCCATGTTGGAGCCCTGTGATGCCCTGCCAATGCTGATCATACTTTACATCAAGGCTTCCTCAGTGGCCTGGGCTGAACCACTTGGAAGGCCATTGGAGGACACAACCCCATGTTGGAGCCCTGTGATGCCCTGCGAATGCTGATTCCTGGGAACAAAGACTCAAATCCTGAAGGCTCTTTGAAGCTTCTTGTATTCTACACTCTGGCTCTGGGCATGTCCTTCTACATGCTGCACAAACAGCTGTTTGCTTTTCAGAATTGCCTGTGTGAGCTACTGTGAAAACACTCTTATTCATGAGGGCCTGAATCTGAGATGCCAGCATCTCCATTTCCAAATCCACAGTCAGGGTGGATAGTGCCACTGGCATTAGTCATACTCCCCGCTCTTCTCTGGCCTATTGTTGATTTCTAGTTTTATTTCCTTTACATGTTGCCCGTTCCAGTGCACGGGGAACTTCGTGTAAGAGAGGGCCACCACCCGGGGAGGGTGCTGAGGGGGTGACATGGATGTGGGTTGAGTTTAGATTTTCAATTCTGTTTATATTTGCTGGTTTTATTTGATATACTGTCACATGGCATGGCCAGAAATTGGATTTAGCATGACCTACACTTTTTAAAAACCTAAATGATTTTTCTTTTATGTTTAATAGATTGAAATGAAATTCTTAGAAGAATGTTCCAAAAAGATGGCAGTATTAATGCTGAAAATAGCCTATATTTTTTTCTTTGATGAAAGGACTAATGTACATTTTTGGACAAATGGAAAAGAAAAAGGAATCTAGGTTTTTTTTTATTTACTTTTATGGAATTGATTTTAAAAAGTGGTTCTGTCCAATGAGAAAAACTGGCTTGTATTATTATACCTTTGTTACTTTGCTGAGCAAAGTGCATCAAAGACAGCCATGCACATTTGTGTACATATATGTGTCAGCCCTGAAAAGACACAGTTTTGAGAATACTTTTTTAAGTGAGTTTGAGAGCATGAAGCAAAGAGAGCAGGAAGTAGACTATGAAGGGGTGAGTGAATAAGAGGTTAATGGCATTGAAAAGGCTTAATAGGGTACCCCTTGGAGTGAATCAATAGTTTCACTTCAACAGTAGTTGCTCTTTTAAGCTACCAGTGAATATCTTGGAGTTTTGACATCTTTTTCTTTTCAGTCTTGCAAACACCTAGAGGCACCATGTAGCCAAATACTGTATCCAGTGTTCTCACCATGAGTGATTTGGGTTGATTGTGGACAGGAGAATTGATATAATGAGCCTAAGCTCTTCTTTAGGAACGGAATGAAAATAGCAGCTGGTTCTTCTACTTTGTGGCCAAATGCCTTTGGACCCACAGATGTGCCTGATTTGAGACTCGCCAAAACTAATACCCCTACAAAAGGGTATGGCATTCTTCAAGGAGAATGGCTGACAAAATATGCAAATTAGAACATCAGCCAGTTTCTACTTCCTCTCACCTTTTCAAATTTAGTTTTTCTTATTTGAGGTGTGGTGAGGAGTCTGCCTCATGAAAGCTGAATAATGTTAGCCAAACTCTGAGCCTCGGGTTTTCCTCTTTGCCACGTGAGAGTGTAAGATCTACTGCTTAGGGTTGTTGGACAATTAAAGGAAATGATGCATTCTTTCAGTTGTACTTACTCATTGCCTGCTAATGTCTGAGTACTGCACTAGTTGCTGGGAATAAAAGGGTAAACGATGGTGTATATGAAATCACTTACCACTGTGCATGGACTGAAAAAAAGTGCTTAGTAAAATTTTCTTAAAACATTTTCAAGGGAGAATTTTAACATGTACAAAATAAAGAGATAATATATTAAACTCCTGTGTACCCATCACCCAGCTGAGACAATTATTAACTCATGACCATCTAGTATGATCAGTGCCCCTGTCTTCTCATGTATTATTATAAAGTGATTCACAAACGTTGTATAATTTTATCCATAAATATTTTAGTATATATTTACAAAAGTTAAGGACTCTTTTTCCAGAATGTAATTACAATACCATTAGGACATCAAAAAATTAGCAATAATTCTTTTATATTATCAAGTGTCTAGTTGGTGTTCAAATACCTCTGATTTATATATATATATATATATATATGCACAAACACTATATATATATTTTAAACATTTGGATTGTTAGAATCAGGATCCATACAAAACCCATACATTGGATCTGTTTGATATGTCTCTTATTTGATCTCTGACATTTGTAGTGTACAGTTTCCCACAGTCTGGATTTTGCTGATTACATCTCTGTGGTGTTATTGAACTTGTTCCTCTGAAATATCTATTTTATTTCAGGAAAATCTAGTTATTTTGTTACGTTAAGCTTGACTAGTGGGTTCTGATCTGCATATTATGAAGTTCCCCATCAGCTTTTTATCCAGGTTTTAGCAGCAATTGATGTGCCTACATACATTATTTCATTATGAATTGCAAAATGATGAGATTTTAATTCCTTCATTCCTTCTTCATTTATTAGCTGGAATCCTTTTTTTTATATGATAGTATTATTGAGATATACTTCACATAATAAAATCTACCTATTAAATTGCTTGATTCAGTGGTTGTTAGTATATTCATAAGGCTGTAAAACAATCTAATTCCAGAACATTTTTATCACATCCCAAAGACACCCATACACATTAGTAGTCCCAGTCTTCTTTGCCCCCAGCCCCCAGTAGTCTAATCTACTTTCAGCCTCTATGGGTTTATCTATTCTGGATATTTCATGTAAATGGGGTCATTCAATATATATGGCATTTTTGGAGTCTGGC